GGGGAGCCGTTAATCGTGTTAGTCGGAGGAAAAAGGAGGAAGTCGGAGAGAAAAGCCAGGGGTATATTAGGCAAAAAACAAGTGAAATAATTGGTTTTTTTTTTTACAGAATTCATGAGTTTTTTTCATGAAGCATGAGTTTTTTTTCATGAAGCATCACAGACACAAGCAAGGGAAACGAGATCGGAGAAGCGGGAATTCGGTCGGAAGATATCACAAAAAAACGGGAAATAAAAAAAAAATTCAATTTTTTTTCCTCGTTCGGCCGAAAAACTCGTTTTTATTTTTCGATCGAAGCACCTCGTTCACAACGTTGGAGTTTTCTGGAAGCCCCTTTTGTGAGTCCACAATTTATTATTTTTTAATCGTTCGGGAGATCGATGGAGGCTGGGACAATGGAGGATTCTCTTCTCGGAATTATTTGGGGAGGCGTTCCATATATTTTTATTTATTTATTTATTTATTAATGAATGAAGGCGCTTCATTCATCAAGCCGGAAAAAAAATTCAGAACGTCCCCCAACTTTCTCCAAATTTCAGACCGATTCGCCATCTCCACTTTCGCTCCACGAAAAAAAAAAAGGTGAGATCCAGAAGAATCCGGATCCAGATCCGGAATCCGGAACGGCACCAAGACCACCCACAAGAACGACGACTCAGTCTTGCAACACCCAGTCTCGTCGAACGGACGACACCCGAAAAAGCACTGTTAGTACCTCGTGAGTAACCGTTAGGATCAGGAAGCCTTCTTCCCGGCCGACGACGACGCCGTCGTCGCCGCCCCATGCAACGAGCACGTCGACGAACTGTTCTTCACATACCCGCTAAACGTCGACGTCGGCGGCAGCGGCTCCCTCTGATCCAAATTCGAATTCGACTTCTTGAGGATCCCCCTCGGCTTCCCGTCCGGCCCCGGCGACGGCGGCGGCCTCCCCCACGGCGGCATGCACCCCGGCGACCCCGGGCTCTTCGGCGTCCCCGGTCCCCCCACGTCCAGGCTCATCTTGTCCTTGAGCTGCAGGAATCGCGGCTTCTCGCCGCGCGTCGAGGGTGATCGCTCCCGCGAGGACAGCGTCGCCGATGTCGTCTGGATCTAACGGCGGCAATCAGAACCGTGCTTTTATTCATTTATATTTATTCATATTCATTTATATTTATTCATATTTATTTATATTCATTTTTATCGATTTATATTTATATTTAATTTTTTTTTCTTCTTTCTTCGTTTCATTCCAGTCAATGCAGAATTTGCTTTTTGCGTTTTTCATCGCTTTTCATTTGAAATCGATGGATGAATACAATTTTCACAGCAGAATTCTGTTAGAATTTCACCGACTGTTGTCCCAGTAGTCTTAAGCAAGTGTTTTTGCTTGACACTTTTATGCCGATCTCCCCCAAAATCCTCTCACGACAACCTCGCCGGAAGGCGGCTCGAAAACAGACCTGATGAAGGCTCTGAAGGCAGCTGGCTTTGGAAGATTGAAGGAGATCGATCTGCCCCTTGAGGATCCGGACGTTCCAGGCCAGGTTCTCCATCGCCCGGTGGAGCTTCCTCCCCTTCAGCCCGTTCTGCAAACATCCGACATCGTTCATCCACGGATCTACGACGGTTCTACGACGGTTCCACGAAGGTACTACGACGGTTCTACGACAGTTCTACGACGTACCTGGGCGGCCAGTTCCTCGATGTTCTCGTAGAACTCGACGGCCCGGGACTGGAGCTGGTTGAAGTCGGCGAGGAAGGAGTCGGACTTGGTGACCAGGGAGCGGAAGGCGTTGAGGGCTCGCTCCAGGATCAGCACGGATCGGTTCAGCGGGGCTGGGAGGTTCGTTGCCTTCAGCTTCAGCACCGGCAGCTGCAACAGTCAGACTCTGGAGAGCGGCTGGCAGGGACTGAGGGGAGGTGGGGGGGGGGGGGGGGGGGGGGGGGGG